AAACTCCCTAAAATGTGCAATTTTTAGAGGAAATTGGCCTACTTCAACAAAATATGCGATTTAAAATTTGAGATTTTCAGGAACTTTCCCGGGTGAAAAGGGCATTCAATGGGGAAAGACTTTCCACAGATGGATATTATCCCCTTGTCCCCCGGTTATTACGCCACTGCGGAGAATACCTGGCGGCTTAGATCAAATGCGCTATAGAACTTTTTGAAGTGGAGAATGGGTTGCAGGCAGGGGTATTGTGATATCTGTTCATTATATCTTCCTTTTTATTCTTGTCTTTATTTTTCTCTTCTCTTTTCCTTTCTCTTTCTTTCCCCTTCTTTCTCTTTCCCTCCCTCTCCCCTCTTTCTTTTCTCTTCTTACCCAGCCAGCCTGGTACGACGTCTTAATCAGCCCGGTAAAAACCGTCAGTGGGGGGTGGGGGAACAGTCTGCCCCTGCCCCGCCTGTTACGCCACTGTTTATAAGATGAATGGGAATATGAATCATGCAGATCTGGAATCAAATCTAGGTGGTGGGGGTCAACATTCCTCCCCAGGGAAAATTTTGATTTCTAGATGGAGGGAAATGAGCTTTCCCGACTTCTGAGGTGTCTTTTAATTACTTTTTTGTTCTTCAAAATTCAAGGTTTTCCAATCTTGAAAACGGTCTGGTAATTTTTTCCCATTGTTATTACAGTAAATAGGGCTTATGTGTGTATACATACATAACAATTTGAAAAAAAAAATGAGTAGTTGCATACGAATTTTCCATGAATCGATGAATCCCAAAAAGAAAGGGGTCCGGGGGTTCTTCCCCAGGAAAATTTTGATTCCTAGAAGGCGGGAAATGAGCTTTCCCGACTTCTGAGGTGTCTTTTAAATTAAAGTCATTAAAAAATACTTCAGAAGTCGGGAAATCTCATTGTTCACCATTTAGAAATCAACATTTTTCCGGGAAGAACTCGAACATCCCTTTCCCTGGGTTCATTGATTCATTATAATAATTTTCAAGAGGGGAACACCTTGAATTTTGTAGAACTTAAAAGTAATTAAGTTCTTCAAAATTCAAGGTTTTCCACTCTTGAAAACTTTCAGATAATTTTTTCCCATTGTAAATAGGCCTTATGTGTGTATACATACATAAAAAAAAGATTGAGTAAGT